ACAATGGTTAACAATCTCACAACACATCAACAATATCCTTACTCAACCTTGGGTTCCCTATCACCAGCTTCCTTGTCCCCTTCTGCCTTCTAGCCCTTGTCACTGGACTCCTGTACCTCATTAGTTCCATTTGGTTTTACGGGGCTGTCCACTCCCAGGCTGAACAGTGAACCTCGAAGATAACGTCACCACTGAGCTAAAAGGGTGTCTGGGGGCCATACTCTCGGGGTGTCTCTAGACTCCTTTAGGCCAGTAAATCTGGTCTTTTTTGTGTGAGTTAGAATTATGTTCTACATCCTTCTCCAGCTCTGTCCAGAATGCTCTGTTGTGATCCCGGTCAGAGCAGTGAGTCGTGGTAGCCGGGTACCATCTAGCTGTATTGGACTCAGTCCGGTGGAGGCCTTGGTAGCTGGAGGACTAATCTTTTCCTTGTATCTTGTTCTCTTCATTCTCCCTTGCTCCCGAAGGGATGAGACCAGTGGAGTATCTTAGATGGCCGCTCAAAGGCTTTTAAGACCCCAGACACTACTCACCAAGGTAGAATGTAGAACATTGCCTTTATAAACTGTGTTATGCCAATTGAGCTAGCTGTTCCCCGAGACCATAGTCCCCACAGCCCTCCGCCCAGGAATTCAGTCCCCCAGAGAGTTTGGATGTGTCTATGGGGCTTCCCTGACAAAAGGACAGACTTTCTGAGGGCTGTCATTGCCAAGATCTCTGCTTATTCCATACCACCTTTATAAACTAAGGTGAGCCTGGCTGAGATACTTATCTATAACTCCTTGGCTTGACCATGTAGTGAAGAAATTCCTGCTCTCCCCTTCAGGTCTTACTTCTGACATTCATTTCATCCCACCAATGATTTTCTGATTTGACCTAATCCTGAGAACTGGAAGAAGGTATTGAAGACTTTAGAAGCTGAAAGTACAAAGTAGTCCACTTCTCCTGACCATATTTCTACAGGATGTCCAACACCTAGTCCACACTACAACCCTGGCTGATGCCCTGACTGAGGTCATCCCTGACTTGCCTGGAAGAGCGGTTTGAAAACCTTTAGGAAAGCTGAAGCCAGACTATGGCCCTGAGTCTTTTGTGCTTATTTTCTCCTGAAGGACTGCAACGGACAGTGGCAGAAATAACTTTTCCTTAGACAGCTAGGTTTGTTCTTGCTATTCTGTCTTACACACAGATATGGTAAAAGTCAAAAGAGAAGCAAGGGAAATTCTAACACCAAAGTTAGGGCAGGAATTACCTTGGGGTAGGCTGTAAGGGAAATGTAACTGAGTAAGGGCACACAGTGGTCTTCCAACTAATAATGTTCTATTTCTTATCCTAGGTATTAAATACAGTGGGGTGTATTTTGCTTCTTTTAATACTCTTCCTTCTTTACAATTTTAAAGAATTTTTTTTTTTATTGTTGTACTTTAGGTGAAAGTTTACAATTCAAGATAGTCTCTCATACAAAAATTTATACATTGTTATGTGACCCTAATTATTCTCCCTGTACTGTGACAGCACACTCCTCCTTTCCACTCCTGATTTCCCGCCTCCATTTAACCAGCTCCTGACCCTCTCTGCCTTCTCATCTCACCTCTGGACAGGAGCTGCCCATTCAGTCTCATGTATCTACTTGAGCTAAGAAGCACACTCTTCACGAGTATCATTTTATGTCCCATAATACGGTCTAATCTTTGTCTGAAGAGTTGGCCTCGGGAATGGTTTTAGCTCTGTGTTGACAGAGTCCGGCGGCCATGCCTTGTGGGGATCCTCCAGTCTCAGTCAGACCATTAAGTCTGGTTAAAGAATGTTTTAATGTACATATTCTTTCAAGTTGGAAATTATTTAACTATACAACTCACTATTAAATTACAGAGGTTTATATCACAACAGCAGCAGTAATTCTCCTACATCAGTCATGAAACAAACTAGTTTTGGTTTAAATTTATACAAAAATTAAGACCAGATTTACTTACATTATGAGTCTTCGGTTTAAGAACCAGTATTTCCTCCGACTTCGGTCATATCCGATAGGTTCATGTCGAATATATGGTTTATTTTTTTGGATTTCAGCAACACAGTCAGTCACCCCAGGCACCTTATGTGCTACACAGACTTCACACTGCCATTCATCCTCTGGCACCTCCTCAAGAGGTGGTTTCACACATTCCAAATGGTACACTGCTGAACATGTCTCACAGCAAAGCAAATCCCCAAGTTTGTGACAAACCCTACAATGGTCGTCATACTGGATTACCCCTTCAGACATCAATTCCTCACGAGCAATATTGGTTGTAAGAAACTGATCAACTAAGAACTGCAGAACTTTGATTTTGTTCTCTACTGGTCCATAAGGATAGTCCTCTGCTTCTTGGTAAGGAAGAACATGATGGTACTCCTTATCACTCTCGCAGTACACCCGCAGCACCTCTGGCCACGTCATCCCATCTATGAAATACAGTGTGGAATTAACGCTATCTTTCAGATCCGCAGGTCCAAAGGTAGTATTGGAAGTGTCTTCTTCACGCAAAACTGCTTTCAAAAGCACAACGTGCATCTCTGCCATAAGTGTGCACTGCTCTTGACTTACCAGAGCTGCACAAAAGTCCTCAAAGCGAAAAGGAGATAATCTTAAAACAGTGCCAAAGTTCCGCAGTACCTCATAAATGGCAATAACATTCATTATATGCTCATTAGGCACCATTAAATCCTCAGAGGACTTGGGAAAGTCAAGGGGCGGGATGTCTTTTTCTTCTAATATTGGAGAACGAGGTCGGTGTACTCTTGGTTTTCGCCTACCTATAAAGAAAGAAATGATATAATTATAAATCAATAATATATTACATCAGTTACACAAACTAAGTGTTCTCCAGTTTTTCCTACTTGGACATACACCTCAAAAAACAGAAAAGCTTAACTTTTATTCTCTAATAATTGTCAAGTTAAAATAATACTAAGAAGCAATGATTTATTTATCTTTAATTTTTAAGTCTATAGACAATGGAGAGTCAAGGTTTTCCCATTATATTCCAAACCAGAAGTAAAAAATGTAAAATTGTAATCAGCTCTCAATTATCTAGAGGAATTAACTGGTTTACAGGTAACCACAATTAAAAAAAAAAAAATAGTAACAGGGCATTTCTGAAAGATTTGAAAAGAATATGAAACAGAAAAAACATCTACATACAAGAGAGCATGAATTTGGTTTCTGTCACTTATAACTGAAAGAGTACTGATTAAAACAGTATCTGAACACTGCATACAGTAGTCTTTTTTATAATGAGAAGAGTGAACGTTAAAAATAATCTGTTGGTAGTACTGTATCTGTAAGGCAGTAATAGAAATAGTTTCTAATTAATGTCCTACTTAAAAGTATCAGCTTTCATGCATTCTGAAAGATTTCAGGTAACTATTTTATTGTTCTGATTTTTAACAGTTCATTTAGCTTTATATTAAGCTAAAGGTCTTAGTTTTCTGTTGATCTTAGAGGTAAAAGGGAGAAAGACCAAAAAGGTCTTCTACATTCTATACTTTTTATCTGGAAACTACAAAATAGCTTCTATTCAAACTATATTCAACAATGTGAGCACTTTTGAAACTTTACGTTAAATACAGCTCAGTTCACTTTGATACATTATTGGGAGAGTATAAATTAAATTGGTTCTATTTTTTAGAAGGCAGTTTGGCAAAAATCTATCTAAATACACAACTCTTGTCCCAGCAATTCTACTTTCTGGAATTTATCGTAGAGATATACTCACACATGTATTTAAGTAAGTACAAAACTACTCAGTGCAACAATAGTTTATAAAAGCTGAAGTTCTGTGGGGTCTTTCCCCCTCTCTTTAACCTAATTGTACATGAATAATTAAATTATGAATTATGGTACAGCTACATAACAATTGAATTTAGCAGTTGAAAGAAAGTAAAATTCATATGAGCTGAAATGAAACAATCTTTAAGATACATTACTAAATGGGGGGAAAAGTCAGTTATAGAACAATAAATAGAATGTCATCTGAGTAAAGAAATCAGAAACAAAAAAAAAGAAAGAAAGAAAAGGTGACAAATGTATACCACTTTAAAAGGACAAAGAAAAACCTCTTTTAAAAGTAGTTAATTCGAGGGAGAGGAACCGGGAGACAAGAAAAGAAAGACTAATTTTCTTATCCTTCCGTACATATACATACATGTATTTTTAATTATAATAATTAAAAAGAAAAAACTGGGCAGGTAAAAACATTAAAATATTAATATTCAAATCAATAAAATGATGCTGCTACTAACAGTTACTGATGTATGAATATAAGGTCATTACGCAAAATTCAATGATTCACATTTACAGAATTGAGCATAGATTACAGGGTATAAGGAGAAAGCATTTACAGAATTAAACCACTTAAGCCACTCAACTGTCAATCATTAGTATTAGCAAGTCAAGTCATTTCAACTATTCATGAAAGCATTTTTATAACATGCCACTGAGTATATTATGCTCATTACCATTTCCAACAGTGATCTAATATCTACCACTATCAGTTATAGTAATAGTCCTGTATTTTTAAAAAAGGGTTAAAAGTAGTCCTCGAAATTTAGCATGCATCAAAATCACCTGGAGGGCTTGTTAAAACAAAGATTCTGATTAAAACAGTTTCTTGATTCAGCAGGTCTAGGATACCAAACAGGAGTCCTGGTGGCGCAGTAGTTAAGAGCTCGGCTGCTAACCAAAAAGTCGGCAGTTCGCATCCACTAGCCGTTCCTTGGAAACCCTATGGGGCAGTTCTCTGTCGTACAGGGTTGCTATGAGTTGGAATCGACTCAACAGCAACGGGTTTGGTTTGAGTTTTAGTATCCTAAAAACCCAAAAAACAAACCCATTGCCGTCGACTTGATTCCAACTCATAGCAACCCTCCAGGACAGAGTACTGCCCGATAGGGTTTCCAAGGCTGGGGTCCTTACAGAGTAGCCCTGGTGGCGCAGTGGTTAAAGTGCTCAGCTGCCAACCAAAAGGCCGGCAGTTCAAACATATCAGCTGCTCTGCGGGAAAAAGATGTGACAGTCTGCTTCTGTAGAAGATTTACAGCCTTCGAAACCCTATGGGGCAGAGTAGAGCTCTATGGGGCAGAGTAGAGCCCTACAGGGCGGGTTTTACTCTGCCCTAAAAGGTCACTATGAGTCAGAATCGATTGGACAGCAGTGGGTTTGGTTTTAATCTTTATGAAGCAGACTGCCACATCTTACATCTTTCTCCCACAGAGTGGTTGGTGGGTTCGAACTGCCAATCTTTTGGTTAGCAGCCCAGTACTTAACCTCTGCACCATTAGGACTCCTTGGGTCTAGGATAGTGCCTGAGAATTTGCATTTCTAACAAGTTCCCAGGTGGTGCAAATGATGCTGGTCTAGGACCCCCACTTGGAGAACCACTGCCCTAGAACTCAGAAAAGCTATCCCCTGAGATTCAGACTTCTACACATTGGATCAACTTCACTAACTCCAGAAATTACTTTTAAATCTTGCCATTCAAAATGTAATTGGCATCATCTAGCACGCTTGAGGGAAATTTAGAATCTCAGGCCCCACTCCAGGCCTACTCAATTAGAATCTGCATTGTCCCCAAATCCCCAGAGGTGATCCACAAGCTCATTAAAGTTTTTGAAGCACTGCCTTGAAACGGTTCTTCCTAAAACTGGAGGTGCACCGTAATCAGCTGGGATGTTGGAAAAGGTACAGTCTCAATATGCAACTCAAATTTACAGAACCTCAGGAGAAACTCTATGTTTCTGTAATCTTTACTTTTATCCTTCTCAGATGATTCTGATGTGCAGCCAAGTTTAAAAACCACTACTTTAAAGAAACTGGATATTTCCCCCAACCAACCAGAAAAGCAGGCCTTCTGTGGAAACCCAAGCAAGGGGACTAAAAGGTTGCCTCAGGATGGCATGGGTAGAATAGGACTGATGTGCCAAGAAGCTGAAGCCTAATCAAAGACATTGATAAGCCTACAGAAAGAAAATTCTAAAGGAGGAGAGTGGCTGGCATGAATTCTGGGGGAGAAAAAAAGAACTACAGAGCAAGAATTTGTCAATGAATTTCCAGCATGGTCTAGGCTAAGGAAGAGAGTTTCTTGGCTGAATGACAAGGATTCTGGCCTACCTGACAGGTCACTACCTTCATGGAGGAATTATGCTGCTATGTACAAATATTTTAATTAAAATTACCTGGAAGTTGTTGAGGCAAAACTTTCTGCTCTTTTGTATTTCATATTAGAAGGGAGGAGGGTCTGTTGGCATGCTCTCTTCTCTCAACTGCTCAGAAGAACTGGTCAACGGTATTCACCAATTGTTAAGTGCTGTTCAGGGCCCTTTTCTACACGCCTGGGTGTTACATATATTTTTAACATGCATTGTGGGCACAAAGCAAATTTAGCTAATTTCTCATTTTTTAATAATTAAAAAGAAAAAAAAACCCTGCCTATACATTTTAAACAGAAATTGCCTTAATTTGCTGAAGTTGCAAGAAATCCTAAACCTTTTTCAAGGCCCTACTCAAATATCACCTCCTCTGTCCTCTCATGGGCCTCCCGGCACCGTGCTTCCCTGACACTTTTGTACAGCCAGCTTTCCACTACAGTTTTGTTGTTGCTCACTGCTGTCAAGCCACCCTCCCGACTCATGGTGACCCCATGCACAACGGAATCGGACCGCTGTGATCCATAAGGTTTTCACTGGATGATTTTTCAGAAGCAGGTCACCAGGCCTTTCTTCCTAGTCTGTCTTAATATGGAAACTGCTGAAACCTGTTCAGAATTGTAACAACATGTGCTTTAGCATGCTTATATTACAGGTAATTAAGTACTTATGTGCCTTGGCTCATTTGTTAACTTCTTTAGAGCACAGACCATGTCTCAGTTATTGTAGTAAGTAAAAAATATTTTTCCAGAGTGGGCCCCTAAATTTTTATTTTATTAATTTTAAAAGGAATATTTACAAAATGTTTTCAGACTTCTAGACCCTATAGGACTACCCTCCATATAATGTCTGTTTCTTGAGAAAAAAAATGTAATCTTGCCCCCTTATTTCTAACTGGTATCTGAGAGAAAGATGAACAACTCAGTATTGGTATAGCGGACAGGGGAAGCTGGTTTCTGGCAGAAGCCAATACTCTAAATCTAATAAGATCTAATTCTTTAATCTACTGTTACATATACTTAACCCGTCAATGGCATAACATAAATAAATCACCTGTGATGCTTTCAATAGCCATCTTTTAAAAATTATGAAACTGATTTGTCAAAAGTAACAAGGATTCCCCCTTTCACCCAGTCAAGTTTTACAGTTATTACTCTCAAGGTTGACCTCTTTCAGTGAGTAGGTTCCATCTGTCTCTAATTCCCTATCCTTTCATACCAGTAAACTATGAAAAATGGCAGAAAAACAGCCATTAGCTTTCACAGAGTGCTCCCTATATGCCAAGAGCTGTGCTAAGCATTTTAAACGCATTATCTCATTTAATCTTAGATCAACCCTATGAGGTAGGTAGGTACTATTATTACCTCCCTTTAAGGATGCTTGAAGATGCAAAATAACTTGCTTAAGGTAACACAGCCAGTGGTAGGGTCACAACTAAAACACAAGTCCACCTGTGTCCTAAGTCAACACCTGGTAAAAGGGCTTTTGAGAAATAACAAGTGCCCTATGTGCAGGTGAGAGGAATAGCAGATAAAGATTAGTGACAGGGTTAGAAAGTGAAAGCCCTGAAAGCAAAAATTTCAGCAAGGGCCATCATGTCAAGCGTTTAA